GTATGAATATACACGCTTTTAGACAACTTACAGTGACAAAAATAAAACACATGTATGTAAAATATTTATCTACACATAAATATGCACATAATAATTATAAATATACACACACACATAGATATGCACATACATATATAAATGCACACACACTCACATACGGATACGCACATACACATATAAATGCACACACACACATACACGCACATACACACATATAAATGCACACACACTCCCATACGGATACGCACATACACACATATAAACGCACATGCTTACACACGCATACAACACTACGCTCCATTTTCTCGCATTTGCCCTATATACGTATCAAAAGTCCCATATCCACCTCCAGTGACAGGTTCTATTGCACGGCATTGCTATTCAGAACAGGAAACATAATCATCCTATATAGTGCAAACACCCGTCCGAAGATCTGCATATGTTGTTGTTTTTTTTAAGACCGTAACTACTAGTACTATTACCCTTCCGGCAATTTAGTTCCGAGAAGCGAAATCTCCTCATAGTTATCAGCCTGTTCATTCTTGTACAACAATTTCTCTTTTGTGTGTGTGTCTCTCTCTCTGTGTGTCTCTCTCCTCTCTCTCTCTCTGCTATCTATCTAATCTATCTCTCTCTCTCTCTCTCTCTCTCTCTCTCTCTCTCTCTCTCTCTCTCTCCTCTCTCTCTCTCTCTCTCTCTCTCTCTCTCTCTTCTCTCTCTCTCTCCTCTCTCTCTCTCTCTCTCTCTCTCTCTCTCTCTCTCTCTCTCTCTCTCTCTCTCTCTCTCTCTCTCTCTCTCTCTCTATCTATCTATCTATCTATTATCTATCTCTCTGAGTGTGTGTGTGTCTTTCTCTTCTCTCTCTCTCTCTCTCTCTATCTATTTGTCTATCTATCTATCTTTCTCTGTTTCTCTCCCTCCCTCCCTCCCTCCCTTCCTCCCTCCCTCCCTCCTTTCCCTCTCCCTCTCTCTCTCTCTCTCTCTTACTCTCTCTCTTTCTCTCTCTTTCTCTTTCTCACTCTCGCCAGCGCTCCAGTGTCACAGCGGCCAACACTTCCTCTTTAAAGCAACAAAAACCCAATAGCATCCACTACGCACTCATCAAAAGGCCTTCGCTCGACACCCATCATGTCCGCGGTGTTTGTAAGGGCAGGGTGGATGAGGACGGGGGGGGGGGGGGGTAAGGGTGGATGAAGGGTGGTGGATGAGGACGGGGGGGGGAGGTAAGGGGGATGAGGACGGGGAGAGGGAGGGAGGGAAGGTAAGAAGAGCAGGGTGGATGAGGACGGGGGAGGGGGGGGGGTAAGGGGTGGATGAGGACGGGGGGTGGGTAAGGGTGGATGAGGACGGGGGGGGGAGGTTAAGGGCAGGTGGATGAGGACGGGAGGGGGAGGTAAGGGGGGGTGAGGGTATGTGGATGAGGACGGGGGGTGAGGACAGGTGTGAATGAAGACGGGGGAGGGGGAGGTAAGGGGAGAGTGGATGGGGACAGGGGGGGGTAAGGGCGGGGTGATGAGGGGGGGGGAGGTAAGGGCAGGGTGGATGAGGACGGGGGGGGGGTAGATAAGGGGATAAGACGGGGGGGGTAGGGTGGATGAGGACAGGGGGTGTGGATGAGGTCAGGGGGTAAGGGCCGAGTGGATGAGAGAAGGGGGGTGAGGGGCAGGGTGGATTGAGGACAGGAGTGGAACAGGGTGGATGGGGCGGGGGAGGGGGAGGTAAAGGGAGAGTGGATGGGTCAGGGGAGTAAGGCGGGGGTGGATGATGACAGGGGGGGTTGAGGGAAGGGTGGATGGGGCGGAGGGGAGGGGGGTGGTAATGGGCAGGTGGATGAGGATAAAGGAAGATTAGGACAGGGTGATTGAAGGCAGGGTGATGAGGACAGGGGGTGGGGATGAGGTCAGGGTGCAGCTCTTGGCGAAGATATTCTTATCCAAAACTTGCTTGTGGAAGAGACGAAAAAAAGAAGTAGAAAATTAAAGAGAAAGGGGGGATGGGAGAAAAGGGTGTCTAACACGGAGAAGAAATTATGAAAAAAAAAGATGAAAGGGGGAGACGAGGAAAGGGATATAATACGGAGAAGTAAATAAGAAAAAAATAAAGTGGGGAGGGAAGAAAGAGGGGTCCAAGGCGGAAAAGAAAAGAGGAAAAAAGAAGATAAATAGGGAGGAGAAGAAAGGGGGTCTAATTCGTAGAAGGGAAGAAGTAAAAAAAGAAAAGAAAAAAGGAGGAGAAAGGGGTGCACGTGACGAAGCTTTCAATCTCTTAAGTCTAATGTTTTTTTTCGGGATTTAGAGACCTGTCTGTTTTTTCTCTATTTTTAGAATCTTTCTTCTTTTATATATCAAATTTATTTATCTATTATTTATCTATTTATTTATTTCTATTGTTTATTTTCATTTTTTTTATCTTTTTTTTCTTTCTTCTTTTTCTTCTTCTTTTTTGTCTAGTCCCGTGTGTTTGAGCGTGTGTGTATGTACACGTGTATCCATCTGTTAATCCATCAGCTGGTGCTTATACTTGTTTTTATCAATTATATATGATATCCGTATATGTGTTTGTATGTTTGTCTGTTTTGTGGATAATTTTTGTCTATCCGTCTATCGTTCTGTCTTTTCTTTTATCCACTTTATTCTGTCTTTTTTCTTTCACGCTTATTCATTTTTTTAGCCTCTCTTTGTGATCTGTTCATGTTCTCTCTCTCTCTCTCTTCTCTCTGTCTTGTCTCTCCGTCTCTCTCTCTCTCTCTTTCTCTCTCTCTCTCTCTCTCTCTCTCTCTCTCTCTCTCTCTCTCTTCTCTCTCTCTCTCTCTCTCTCTCTCTCTCTCTATCTCTCTTCTCTCTCTCATCTCTCTCTCTCTCTCTCTCTCTCTCTCTCTCTCTCTCTCTCTCTCTCTCTCTCCTCTCTCTCTCTCTCTTCTCTCTCCTCTCTCTCTCTCTCTTCTCTCTCTCTTTCTCTATCTCTCCTCTCTCTGACATACAGCCGGAGCAGTTATCGCCTCCTAGAATAGCCACTTGGTATTCTACATCACCAACAGTGTCAAATTTTCCCCTACGTCGTAAAAGAAAAAGAAAAAGAAAGAGAAAAAAAACGAAAAAAACAGAGGAATTGGCCGAGTAATGGTTCCACTGTGAACAGTTTGACCAAATTCCAACGAAATAACTTTAAGATTAGCTTGAACAGTTTTCTTTCTTTTTTTTTTTCCTTGTCACATTATCGGGAAGTTTGGGACGAAATAAAAGACTTTTCTGTGTGTGTTTTGTGTAGAGAATGTGCTCGTGTGTATGAGATGGTTGCGTGAAAGTTAAGAAGTATTTTGGCACTTTGTTTTTCTCACTCGCTTTGTCTCTTTGTTCTCTTTTTCCTTCTCTCTTCTCTCTCTCTCTCTCTTCTCTTCTCTCTCTCTGTCTTTCTCTCGCTCTTCTCTTTCTCTTTCGCTCTTTTCTCTCTCTCTCTCTCTCTCTCTCTCTCTCTCTCTCTCTCTTCTCTTTTCTCTCTCTCTCTCTCTCTCTCTCTCTCTCTCTTTCTCTCCTCTCTCTCTCTCATCTCTCTCTCTCTCCTCTCTCTTCTCTCTCTTCCTCTCTCTGGGGGCCAAGGGAGCAACACCTTCCAGGATCTCACTTAGTATGCCACATTGTCACCGGTGTCAAGCTGTCCTATAGCCAGCGGAAAAAGGAAGAAAAAAGAAAGAAGGAAAGACAAGAGAGAGAGGAAAAGGAGGAAATTTACGTCACTGTTAACTTTTTGACAAAATTCCTAAGAAATGGCGCTAGGACTTTTTTTCTTTCTTTTTTTTTTTTTTTTTTTTTTTTTTTTGTTATATATTGAGTAATTCGGTTGGTGATGAAGGGTTTTTTTGATTTCTTTTTTTTGTTTTTTTGTTTTTCTTTTTTTGTCTTTATATGTGCGTTTTTTTTATTTTTCAAAAGAAAGAATGTGTTCGCGTGTCTGAGATGGTGCGCAAGACGTGAGATTTTCAGATCTGTCCTTCTCTCTTTGTGTCTCACTCTCGCCTTTCTCTCCTTTTTTTCTTATTATTTTTATCATTATTTCTTTTCCCTCCTTCGTCTTCTTCTTGCTCTTCTGTTTTTTTTTCATTTTCTTTTTATTATTCTTTTTCTTCATTCGCTCATTCTCTTCCTCCTTTTCATCTTCTTCACTTTTACTTCTTCCTCATCTCTTCTTTCCTGTTTTCTTCTTCTTCTAATTCTTCTCATTCTTTCCCTCTCTATATATATCTATTTATCTATCAATCTATATCTATCCATCCATCTATCTATATATCTATCTATATGAATAGATAGATAGATCTTTCTATTTACCTATCTGTTCATCTCACTCTCGAACGTGAAATGGTTTTGGATCCTAAAATCATCGCGATTCGGATCCTGTTTAAGGCCACGGCGCTCGACTGTCATCTGTTCGCATCCGGGCACTCGATCCCCGCGCGCCATTCGCTGACCATCTATTGACAGCGGAAAATCACCTGCTACGTAAACAGACCTTATTTCATGTCGTCTCAGGAATACAGACAAAGATCGGGCAAATATATGTGCAATCTCTTTTTTTCTTCTTCTTTGTTTTATTATTATTATTTTTTTTTTTTTTACTTGATGTATATTCGTGAAAGCAAATTGTTAATAGTAATTGACATTGTGACGTCCCAAAACCCTATCCCTTGTCCTTCTGAAAGTAACAATAATAATAGAAATAACAGTAATGATAACGATAACGACAACAATTTAAAAAAATAATAATGATAGAACCATTAATTAATGATGATTATAACAGCATCGTGGTGTAGGTTTCTGCAGGAGTTGAAACAGATGGTACAGCTTACACCAGCGGAGTTCTAATCCATGGATATTGCTGAATATGATTACGACCGACGCGACGGCAGCTTCACGTTGCAATATCAGGCGGGAAACAACATCAGCAAACTGGAATAATTTCGGTTAAAAAATATCATTAAAAAAAAAAAAAAAAAAGGTCATAACAAA